TTTCTAGGAGTGTAATCTCAGGAATACCAAGATAGAACATTAAAATAGAATCGTTAAAATAATTGTCTTAATATATGAAAAATAATTCATACATATCTTTTCTGTATGAAACTGAAGTGGGTTGGGCAAAGGATGTTGTGGGTGCTAATGTTTTAAAGTTTTATTTCCCTATCGTTAAAAAACATCCCTTGGGCCAACTGACTGAAAACATACCTAATTTAAGTAATTTCATCCAAAAATACATTTGTAAAATTTGACTTCCTTTGAAAAACAAATCAAAATTTCAGATACTTACTTAGTATATAGTTCATGTGATATTTTGCCACTGAAGGCCAGAAAAAAGTTTCACCTAATAGTGTAGTATGTGTCTTTCTATATTACAGTATGATATGACAGCTATGGTTTTTCTTTTCCTATACATTTAGGTTGCTAGGATGTTAAAAACTGCGTACACTGATAGCATACTTTTTCTAAAACAAGGGCTATTTTCCCTTTAAATTTAGTTAATTCCTTATTCTTTATTACCTTTTATCTCTTACTCAGAATTAATTGATTTTATCCTTATTGTTGATTTTTTTCAGGACTCACAGGTAAAGGAGTAGGAATATACTGTTATTAAACCATATAAACTTGGGGCACCTGGGTGGCTCAGTCGGTTAAGCAGCCACCTCCTGATTCTGGCTCAGGTTCATAATATTGGTCCTGGGATCGAGCCCCACATCAGGCTGCCTGTTCAGTGGGGAGTCTGCTTCTCTCTCTCCTTCTGCCTCTCCTTGCTCGTGTTTTCTCTCACTCGCTCTCTCTGTCAAATAAATAAAATCTTAAAAAACAAAAAATGAACTCTAACTTTATGCCAATTTTAGAATAACCTCCAGAAATAAGTATTCATTTATTTTGCAGCTCTATATCACTTACACATAAATTACCTTTTTTTGTTTGTTTGTTTAAAGATTTTATTTATTTATTTGACAGAGAGAGAGAGCACACAAGCAGGGGGAGCGGCAGGGAGAGGGAGAAGCAGGCTCCCTGCTGAGCAAGAAGCCTGACGCAGGGCTCGATCCCAGGACTCTGGGATCATGACCTGAGCCGAAGGCAGACGCTTAACGACTGAGCCGCCTGGGCGCCACATCATATAGGATTTTATATAAACAAAAAGGAACCAGGGGAATAGAACACACATAAATTTTATTGTTGTCCAAGTAATTCTTAATGTAATTGTGAAGTGTAATTCAGATTTTATGAAAGGGTTTTTTAAATAGAAAAGGTGTAATATAAAAACAAAAATTACCAGTTTGAATCTCACTAATCTTATGAGTTCTGAGGAAGTTTTGTACATCACATGGTGGGAGAGGGGGAAGGTTATACCTTATAGTTGGTTTTCAATATTTGTAGAGAAAAAAAAAATCTTAAAAATATTGTTAAAATGTAATGCCAATATCTGGTGTAATAGATCTGGTGTAAAGATTTAAAATTTGCATGCTATTAGACTGGAGGAAACAGGAACAATTTTTGAAACTACAAAGAAAATGAACATATATCAACAGCAGTAGCCAGTGTTTATCGAGTGCTTATTGTCTGTCAGTGTTCTAAGCACTTTATGTGAATTAACTCTTATAATATAGTAATTCTTAAAGTGAAGTAGGTACTATTTTTTATATAGTTCTATTTTGAGCATACTAATAGACAGGAAACATACCCATTTTTCTGAAGATTACACAGCTCTTAAGTGATAGAGCCAGGATTCCCAAGGAGACAAAATGGCTCCAAGGTTCACACTCTTAACCACTGTACAAGTAGTGTTTAGCTCTGGGGAAGTGAAATGAGATTGAATTTGGATCTCCTCCTTGCATGGCTGTGGAGTTCTGTATGTAGACTGTGTATGGATGTGGTACATGTGTAAGGATATACTTGTAGTCCAGCTTCTGTTCAAGATGTGCAGTTAGGGATGTTCAGCGAAGGAAGTAGAAGAGATTTATCCTGAAGGAAGAGTTAGCAGGTGATAGATAATCAATCACAGCTTCTAAAGTTCTTCATTTATTTCCTTTGACTACCTCAACTAGGGTGTGTAGCATATTGACGGTTTTTTAGTTCCATTTAGTTCCATTCTTTTCCTGATTTCTAGTTTAACAATTTATCAATTTTCATATAATATATTTACATTATATAACATTATATAATTTTCTCTCCCCCCTTCTCCAGATATGATAAAAGTTATTTCAGATATTTCAATTGTTGTTTAAGAATGAAAGTGGCTAGGGTGCCTAGGTGGCTCAGTCGTTCAGGGTTTGCCTTCGGCTCAGGTCATGATCCCAGCGTCCTGGGATCAAGCCCCGCATCGGGCTCCTTGCTCAGCAGGGAAGCCTGCTTCTTCCTCTCCCACTCCCCCTGCTTGTGTTCCCTCTCTCGCTGTCTCTCTCTCTGTCAAAAAATAAATAAAAATCTTAAAAAAAAAAAAAGAATGAAAGAGCCACCTGGGTGGCTCAGTTGGTTAAGTGTCTGATTCTTGGTTTTGTCTCTGGTCAAGGTCTCAGGGTCGTAAGATTGAGCTACCAGTAGGGCTCCATGCCCAGTGTGGAATCCGCTTGAGGTTCTCTTGCCCTCTGTCCCTCCACCTCATGTGCATGTACACTCTCTCTCTCAAATAAATAAAGAAGTTTTTTTAAAAAAATGAATGAGGGGCACCTGGGTGGCTCAGTCAGTTAAACGGCTGTCTTCGAGACGAACCATGAGAGACGATGGACTCTGAAAAACAAACAGGGTTCTGGAGGGGAGGAGGGTGGGAGGATGGGTTAGACTGGTGGTGGGTATTGAGGAGGGCACATTCTGCATGGAGCACTGGGTGTTATGCACAAATGAATCATGGAACACTTCATCTAAAACTAATGATGTAATGTATGGGGATTAACATAAGAATAAAAAAATAAATTAAATAAATAAATAAAAATAAAACAAACAAACAAACAAAAAAAAAAACCGGCTGCCTTCAGCTCAAGTCACGATCCCAGGGTCCCTGGATGGAGCCCCGCATCGGGCTCCCTGCTCAGCAGGGAGCCTGCTTCTCCCTCTCCTGCTCCCCCTGCTTGTGCTCGTGCTCTCTCTGTCAAATAAATAAATAAAATCTTTTTTAAAAAATGAATGAAAGTGGATATAAATTTGCCTTTGGCCACATTCTCTTAGTTTTCATATAACTGTGTTTATATGAAATTTATTTATTTACTAGATTTATGAATATATTTATTTACTAGATAATCTATAATTGTAGTTTGGATATCTTTTTAATCTAAGAGTTATAAATTTCCAAGTGGTCAGAATTTTGTTGTTGTTGGGATTGTTAATTTTTTTTTTTGCACTGGAGTCTTAAAATTGTGAACTTTAAGAGGGAATTTATTTTTCCTCCTGGCCTAATCAATGTAGTTTTTTCCATTAATATTTGGAAAGTATTTTCTACAAGAATTCATTAATTACATCAGTTTTTCTCATAAGTGTTCCACAGAGCACTAAATTCCTCAAATACTACCTGGGAGAAGGAGGTTCTGTGTCAGATAACTTTAGGAAACCATATAAAACAAGTATAATGATAGCAAGACTATTTAGATCCCTTAACCTGCTGGTATTTAGTGTGACCTTCTAAGAAGGAGGGAGGTAAAATGTACAGCATTTTTCAAACCTATTTGAAAGAATTATCTCATAGCCTGGCCTTCTTCCCTGCATGTTAGATAATATTAGTGAGGTTTTTCATATATCTTGTCTACTTACCTTCCTATAAGCTGTTCCTTCATATTGAGGGAACTATGGATCACACAAGCCCTTCTTTCAGGCACCTCCCATTTGAAATTCAGCAGGCACTTTTGTTAATGGTTTCTCTGGTTTCTAGTAATCATAAAAATTCCATAATTTTTAGATTCTGTTGATTATTTCAATGGAATCTGGGTTTGTGTGCTCATTGCCATATTATCTAAAAGTCACTCAAATTTAACTTAATCATCTTGAGGGAAGGGCTGATTCTTCCTTCCTCTCTGTTATCTTTTACAGGAGTCTTTTTCATACCTCAGTTGTTGATTTACCAGTCTTTGAGACTTTTCCTGTGCTTTTTATGAAACCATTTGCTTTTTTAAGACTGTACTTATTCGTATATAGAGAGAGCGGGGGCGTGAGCACAGGGAGGGGCAGAGGGAAAGGGAGAGAATCTCAAGCTGACTTGTGCTGAGTGCGGAGCCTAGTGCCGGACTCAATCCACAACCCTGAGATCACACCCAAGCTGAAATCAAGAGTTGGTTGCTTAACTGACTGTACCACCCAAGAGCCCCTGAAATCATTTGCTTTTTAAATTTAAACTTGCTTTAAATGAGAACTTAAGCATTACTGTTAATGCCATTAAAAAATAAAAATTTTTTGCTGCATCACCTGATCTCATACTGCTTACCACTTTTGGGGAAATGATGCTGCATAGAAAGCTTAATTTTTCCTTTTCTTCCTGGTTTTTCTGTAACAGTAACAATAATGGCTTATATTTGTTACATCTCACCATATGGAGGACCACATTGTACAGCCCTCTATGCTGTTCACTGTTCATCTTGGGGTTGTACCATTCTCAGAGACTATGAAGTGATTGTCATGTCCTGTGGCCCTATGTGCCAGGCAACATGCAGAGTACTTTATGCATAATTTAATCCACATAACAGCCCTATGAGATAGGTAGTGTTATCATCCCTACCTTCCAAATGAAGGAATAATGGCCTGGAGAGATAGAGGTTGGTTAATTTTCCTAAGATCACACAACAGGTAAATGGCAGTGCTGGAGCTAAGAACCCAGGCAGCCTGCCTCCAGGGCTTTTGACCATACAATGCACTTAAAGCAAGCTTAATTCAACCTTTGCATTGTACTCAAAAGCATACTGTAGGATTTTTTTTTCCCCCATACACATTGGTGAAAACATTCAGGCACTGATTGTGTATGTCTTAAAGTTGCACATTAATAATTCTTGTGTATTTTATTTTAGGTCAATGGAAAAGGTTCCTTATGGTGTGTTGATCCAGAATATAAACCCAACCTTATGCAGGCACTGAAGAAGCAACCTTTTTCCTCAACATTAACATTTTACACCCCTCCTGCATCTCCACAAAGGTACAGAATCTTCCATATAAGTATCAATGGTGACATAAGATTTCGTTGTATGACATGGAAAAACCTAACAAAGTTGTAAGGTTTGGGGGTTTTTTTTATTGCATAGAGAATAACTTATGGATAAGACATTAGCCTAAGGCATTTTTACTTATAGTCAACTTGTGTTATTAGGAAACAGGATATTTGATAGGTGAGAACATAAATTCTGGAAAATACAGTCACTCCTGAGTATAAGTAAACCCTACAGAACGTTATAATAATGATTTCAGGTACAAAAGGTTTAAATTATTTTAATTGCCGGCAGTACTAATGCAGACTAAAGACATGGGAAATTAAAAGTATATTTAAGCTTTTTAAAATAAGATGCTTAACAGTTTGTCATTGTAACATTTTTATGGATATATTTATATCTTTTTCTATTTTAAGTTTAGTTTTCTTTCACAACACATTTAATATTTGAAAATTATGCTCACAGTCTCAAGTTTTAAAATGTCTGACAAGTAAAATAATGCTTTGACTTTTTTATTTGTTTTGTTTCTGCTGGTAAATATAATTGTGATGTATTTCCTTGGCTCTTGTTTTCAAACTCAGTGACTCTTATTGATCTTACAGCTTTCCCATTTTAAGTCAAAGCTGAAAATGACACCTCAAATCTGATTTTGTTTCCGTTTCCTAAAGAAGCCTTCAGAATTTTTTTTTTTTAAATTCTATTATGTACATTTGTTTGAATTGAAAATGCCAGATTTTGTTGAGATACTTTTGAGGGTGGCCTTATCATGGCTAATTGTTTTTTGGAAAATTTTAAAAGCTTTTTAATAAAATGCTAGATGGAGAATTTCAAACATACACAAAAGGAGGGAGAAAACTATAATGAACTCTTCAGCTGCAACAATTATCAATATTTCCATACAATGTTTAATTTCTTAAATTATTATTAAATAACTTCAAGTGGAGTGGTTGTAGCTGAAATACAATAAAAAATTAGTAAGGCTAAAGTTGAAATTAGTAATATATATCTTCTCACTGAGATTTTAAGCTTGTTTACTAGTAGATTGGAAGGATTATTGTCACAAGAACGATTGAGTGGTTTATCTTTATTAAATGAAACCTAGAAAAGTTATCAGAGTTTATATCCTCATTGTTTGGGACTTGGTATCTTTATCGTTAATGTTGGTGCTTATGAGGTATCCTAGTTTAAAAAAAAAACAATTTAGAAACTAATGGTAAGTTCTGTTTATGGTCATTTATGTGTTTTATTTAGCTATGCTTTTTTTAAATTAAAGATTAAATGAGAGAATTGACACTGTTGTATACCATTAGATATGCACTTCACTGTGCCTTTGATAGATTGCATTTTCATGATTTTATCTTTTAGCTTTATCATATGTTAAATAAAAATGATTTTGTGGTTTAAAAACAGATAAATGACAGCATAAAGATAATTTTTCACTTTAAAACATTACCTTAATATTTTTAGAAACATTTTTTCTTTTTCATTGTTTGGCAAATGATGGTTCCATCCAATAGATCTTTGTGTAGCCTTTTCATGTCATTATTGGTAAGTTGAGAAAAAGAATGAAATATAGTATATGTAAAACTATGAATGAGAAATAGACTTACAATTTAGTTAGCAAAACAGATTTTTTTATGGTATCACAAATTCCAAAGAACAGAAGTAGTGTGTCCCAAAAATGATTTAATTTTTGGAATTAAAAAAAAAATAAAAAAGCCAAAACTGGGATGCCTGGCTGGCTCAGTCAGAAGAGCATGTGACTCTTGATCTTGGGGTTGTAAATTCAAGCCCCATGCTGGGTGTAGAGATTGCTTAAAAATAAGAACTTTAAAAAAAAAAAAAACAGAACTCCTAATCTCTTTATGACTGTAGCAAGCTTAATTTGACATTAATATTTCTTAATAAAATCAGGAACTTATCTGTTTTGCATCATTACCATACAGTTCTCTTCACACATTTGTTTCGATAAACGCTTTCATTTCTGTGGTAACACCTATATGAATATCATATCAAATTTAAGCATCCAATACAAAACCAAATAGTAACTATTATGTATTGTCTATTGTTACAGGCATTTTAAATGCATTATTATTATTCATCACAGCAGCCCTATGTGGGAGGTTTAATTATTCCTATTTTACAGATGAAGAAACTAAGAAATTAATTATTTTGCCTAAGATCGTCCAAATAGTTGTGATTTAATCTTGGATCTAATGCTCTTTCTGCTTTGGCAGACTCTTCTAAACTGAATAGTATTAGCAAAGAAAACAAGGTAAAAATAGTTTGTGTTTTTTATTGTATAAATTAGTTGTATTTGTGACTAAGTTCTATAAAAAGTGAAATGAAGGTTTTTATAAGCATATTTATCTTATCTTTATTTTTCAGTGGCTCTTTATCACCTCATTTCTTAAGCTCTGTACTCAAGCAGAACCAGGTGCGAACCCTTAAAGGTATGTGTGTAAGAACATTACTTTAAATCATAACAGCTCAGGTCAAATATCAGGATTTTTTGTTTATTTAATTTTTTTCTGATTATAAAAGTATTACATGTTCATTGTAGAAGATGTGGAAAATAAAAACATTTCTAAAAAGAAACTAAATTTTAAGAAACAAAACTGATGGGGTGCCTAGGTGGCTCAGTTGGTTAAGCGGCTGCCTTCGGCTCAGGTCATGATCCCAGGGTCCTGGGATCGACCCCCACGTCGAGCTCCCTGCTCAGTGGAGAGTCTGCTTCTCCCTCTCCCTCTGCCTGCCTCTCTGCCTACTTGTGCTATCTCTCTGTCAAATAAATATATAAAGTCTTTAAAAAAAAAAAAAAAAGAAAACTGATGAACATAGGGGAAGGGAGGGAAAAATAAAATAGGATAAAGAGAGCAGACAAACCCTAAATGACTCCTAGCTATAGAGAACAAACTGAGGGTTGCTGGAGGGGAGGTTAGTTGGGGGTTGGGGAAATGGAGTGATGGGTATTAAGGAGGGCACTTGATATGATGAGCACTGGGTGTTAAATGTAAGTGATGTATCACTAAATTCTAACCTGAAATTAATGATACACTATATGTTAACTAACTTGAATTTAAATAAAACAAACAAAAAGAAACTAAGACTTATTCTTTATTATCGTCAACATTTTGTTTTAATTACTTTGGTTCTTTTTACTCCTTATACACGAGTAGATGTGTCTGCATGCATACACACACACACACACTTTTTCTCCAAATGTTAGGCTCATACTGTGTATACTGTTGTATATCCCTTTTTTTTTCATTTCCTCTTATGTGTATTTCTCCCTGAAAATAGGAAAATATTTCTTAGTAATACTATCAGTATAGAGTTTGCTTTTCAAGTCTTAGACTAGAATAGAGATTGGCAAACTAGGCCTTGGGCCATATCTGGCCTGCCATGTGTTTTTACATGGCCTGTGAGTTTATCTTTATAAATAGTTGAAAAATTAATAAAAAAAATATTTCAAGGCATGTGAAAATTCACTATAAGAACAGAGTTAAGTAGTTGCAACAGAGATCTCTGTATTGTATCCTTGGTTATGCCTCTTCTCTGGCAAAACCTAAAGTATTTATTGACCCTCTTCAGAGGAAGTTTGGATTAGAATATAGTTTAGAATATTTCTTTTATAGGTTAAGTGTAAAGAACTTTAAGAAGACAGCAAATTAACTTTCAGAATTCTGTAGATGACTTTTCTAAAGTACATAAAAATTCTGAATTAGTAGTTTTTGCCCCCTACTCATAGTTAATATTATAAATTAGTGATGTATTAACCTGAGGTTTTCTAGCATTGTCACTTTCAGGCCTAGAAACATTTCTGTGACTTTTAAAAACAGAAATCCGCAGACCAGAAGTCTTTTCTGTGTATCAGACACATCTTGGCTCTTTGAAACTACACTAAGCCAAGCCTAGGAAGCAGTGTGATGATGATCTGTAAAAATGAGAGAGGGAAAGGGTGTGAAAAGCTGAAGAGAATTCTGCAAAGAAGTTAAGAGGATTGAGGGTATGTTCAGATAATGTTCTGGCTTAACATAATGCAAGTATCCATTTTCTCCTTCCTGCATGGGTAGATGTGGTTTCTCTTTACATTTAGGCATTGCAGAAACTGCATATTTTTATTATCTCAATAAGTTCTGACCTTTAGTCTTTCAAGCTCAGTTCATACACAGATTTTGAGAACATTTTCTTTGTGAATTCTGGGTTTATTTGGAATCTCTTCTTGCTCTTATTCCATTCTGTCCTAATTCTGCTGCTTCTTTTGGGGAGCAGACACTTGCACAATTTTCTCCTGCTAGTTTTTTTTTTTTTTTTAAGATTTTATTTATTTATTTGAGAGAGAGTGAGCAAGTTGCAGGGGGTGGGGCAGAGGGAGAGGGAGAAGCCAACTCCCTGAAGAGCAGGGAGCATGACACGGGGCTCGATCCTGGGACTCCAGGATCAAGATCTGAGCCAAAGGCAGATGCTTAACTGACTTAGCCACCCAAGCACCCCTCTCCTAGTTTTAGCCGCAATTTTTCATAACTAGAGCATAGCACTTCTCCTTCATCTAATGACTTAGACATATGGTGCATCATCTCTCCAGTGCTGCTAATAGCTTACTTCCCTCCTTCTCTGTACTGGTGAGTCTTAGGCTTGATGGTAAGGGGCCTTGGAGTTCCAGGTTAAAACAAATGCAGGCCTGGGGCGCCTGGGTGGCTCAGTCGTTAAGCGTCTGCCTTTGGCTCAGGTCATGATCCCAGGGTCCTGGGATTGAGCCCCACATTGGGCTGCCCCCTCAGCGGGAGCCTGCTTCTCCCTCTCCCACTTCCCCCGCTTGTGTTCCCTCTCTTGCTGTGTCTCTCTCTGTCAAATAAATAAATAAAATCTTGAAAAAAAACCCAAAAAACAAATGCAGGCCTGTCCTGGAATAGAATATACAGTTCTTACGAGTTTTAGAGGAAAACATAAGACCACACAAAAACTTAAGAAAATTTATATTTAAATCAGGTTGCTTTAGGGCCTATTGATAGATTTACGAGGAAATTTGCTTTTTCTTCTCTCGATATTATTTCTAGAGAAAAGTTTGAAAAAAACACAGCACTAAATGGACTAAACAATCAACTGTTTATTCTACAAGTAATTGTTGAATTCCCACATGGTGCCAAGTAATGTATGGGTGCTTTGGGATATGCAGAGATGAAAGAGACCAAGGCCCTGCTCTCAAAAACTGTACAGTTTAATTGAAGAAGGTTGAGAAGATTATGCAGAGTACATTGGGGGAAAAGGAAGTAAGTGGCAAAGTAAGCTTAGAGGTAGATCAGAAAAGGCCCCTTAGAAAAGAAAGTGGTGCTTGAGCTGGACCTCAGAAGTTGGGGAAATACTTGACCTTGTTGGAGGGTATTTGCTAGGAACTGCAGGCCAGTGAGTATGGCTGAAGCCTAGGATTATAGAAGAGGATTCGGCAGCCTTGGTCCAGTAGCTGTAGATGTGGTCATTTAGCATGGGCAAGCCAAATGAAGAAGTTTAAGCGAGCATTAACCAAATCAAGGAGAACTTATTTAGCGTAATGAGTTTGAACTCCTATAATTATAACATTAGCATTGGGTTTCTTACTACGGTGCTTTAAGTGCATTATCTCATTTAATCCTTACAACTCTTTGAGGTATTCTTACCTAATAAGGAAACTGAAGTTTGGAGAGATTAAGTAACTTTCTCATGGCCACATCACTAGTAAAAGGCATACAAGGAACTCAGAAACTCTGATTTCAGAACCTGCACTCCTACTAAGTATGAGGCATTGAGGGAGCTGCTGAAGGGCTTTAAAGAATGAGGCAACATTGTCAGTTCTGTGTTTTATTAAGGTCCCTTAGGTGTCATTGAGTTCCAGTATTAGAATCCAGTATTAGATTCATCTATCACTTCACAGAATCATCTTTACTAATCATTATAATAGAGCTACCTTCAAACACATAAGAGCAAATAGGAGAACTTACTTAGGCGGAGAAACTCCAGAAATAGTCACTATCACCCAAAGTGGGTGCAGCAGTTTTAAAGTATAGTTGTCTCTCTTGCTCACCTTACAATGACTAATTTTCTGTGCCAATATATATGTTACAGTATTGTATAAGAGGGTAGGAGGCACAGGAATCTCATACTGAGATAGCAAAACAAAATCTTTTTTGTCAATATTTTGGTTTGGTGTGGATTTAGAATAAATTCATCTGCTTAAGAAATATTTATTGAACATACTTGTGTGCTAGGCACAAGGATACATCAGTGAACAAAATGACAAAAATGGAACTCACATTCTAGTTACTGAATTACAGTATTTATACTGAAGCACTAGTATACTACAAGCAAATATAAATGTTAGTTAATGATGATGTTAGGGGCTAAGTGCAAATCTAGGTTCAAATTTAAGATTCCAAATTAGCATAATTTGTATCTTAATAGAAATTAAACTAAACCAGTGGTCCAAACAGCTTAAACTATTGGCAGTATATCAAAATTGCTCTCCTCTATTAAAGAATCACAAGAGACAGCTTCTCTGTTTCGACGCTCTGTAAATGTGTATGTTAGCTTTGATAGATGTAATAAGTCCTTATAGTTATTACTGAGCTTATAACAATTTAAATTCTGCCTCTATGGTTCTCATATCATTCCTTAAGCAAATAGATTGAAAATCAGATAACAGAAATGTGTCAGTTTGTGTCATAACCCTCAGTTTCACATAGCTGAACCTAGTGTCTTAGGGTTTTTTTCTCAATTATTGTTAGTAATTTCCCAGCATCAGGGCTAAGGAAATATAAACCAGGACATACAAATTAACACTTATGACAGAAATTTATTTGAATCAATTATTAAATCAGTAGCATGTTTTGAACTCCAGTCAGAACTATGAAGGAAAAAAAGAGAAATATTATGACTTTGAACTAAGTGGGTTTTTTAAATCACTATTTGGGTGGATCTCATGACTCTTAATGACAAATGAATTTCAACTAGAAGTGAATTATTTGCTTAAACTAAATAGTGTCAGAGAAAATATATACAAAAGACTTTATAAAAGAACCAAATTTTTATTCTTTATGAACTGGATATGGTGGTAACCTAGCTAATAGTATGTTTTTAAAAACACAGAGCTACATTTTAAATAGCTAAGATATTATCAGTGAAAAAATAACATGAAGTGTCATCAATTGTGACAATAAACAAGTAAGTCTTCAGTTTAATTTTAATACTAAAACAGATGGGGTACTCTAAGTAAAAATTGTAAAGTCTACACAGAGAGTTTTTGTTGTATTTGTTCTAAGAAGTTCAAGATTGTACCTTGGTCAAATCATCAGTAATCAGGTATTCTTGATTACTGAGTGTTTGGGGTCATTTCTCTTGCAGTTAGACATTTTTCTAGAACTAATTGGCAAGGTATGGGAAGCATACTTAAAATGTTTGAAACCAAACAAATTACATATAGATAAAATTCTTTTGCAGGGAGGCTTTCGGTTTCATAAAGTTAATTTCATGTGGGAGAGTTCAAATTAATTTGGTTATAATAAATCTATACAAGAAATAAATGTGTTTAAGGTACACTTTTCCTGTCCTTCTACTGTTACAAAAATAGTATCTAATTTTATCATTTTAAATATTTGGAAACTAAGAAGAGAAGTGGTGTTCATGTAGCTTTCTTACGTTGTCAGGATAAGCCTCACCAATTTTCTTTAGTTTTAGGTATTGTTTTTAAGAAATATGACTCCTTGAATTCTAATGAAAGTTTACTATAGGAAGTTAAGCTAGAGATACACTAACTTTTTTGATAAGATTTTATAGGTACTTCATTTATAAGATTATAAATTTTCTGAAATTTTTTCCTAATTATGCTTTTCAGTGTTAGATTCTCCCTCACCATCACCTCCTTTTTTTTTTTTAATGAAATTGGAAACAAGGTAGACCTTTTTTTATTAAAAGAAAAATTATTTCATGGAACAGGAAACTCTCTGTCAGGGCTTTTGCATAATGCCAATCAAGATTTGCCCTGCACAGGGCCACTTGGCTGAGGCAGTGAGTGGGGTCTGAAATTCAGCCCACGCTCCAGTCTTCAAGCTGTGTGCCTTCGTACAGGGAAGCATTCACCTGGAGGCAGACTTGCTTTTTTTCAGTTCACACAGAGATGCAATATGGGCTAGAGTCTGAATCTTTTCTTCTTCAAAGACATGTTAGAATACTGAACTCTATCAAATTATAGTCAGGTCTCATTCTAAAAGCTAGAATTGGAGAGATCTTTTCTTGGCTATGACATGAGAAACACTGATTCATACTCTTTTTACTTACTGTTCTTTCTGCCTTGAAATACTTTTCCTTCGGATATCTTCTTTTTCTCATCTCCCTGAATCTTTGCTCAATGCTTGCTTCTTCTTGAAGCTTTCTCTAACCTCTGTATTTAAAGTGCGGTCACCCTTCCCAACACTCTCTATCCCCCTTTCCGCTTAGTTTCTCTCCCTCATGTTTGTCACCTTGTGACATACTGTGTTTTAATTATTCCTTTGTGTTCTGAGAGGTTAGGGGTTTTCCTGTTTTGTTTTTTGCTATATTCCCACAGCCTGGAATGATGTCTGACTCAAAACAGGATACTCGTTTTATTGAGTGAATAACAGAATAGAGAATTTCCAGTATATTCTGTAAATCCTGCAGAGTTTCCTACTTTAGTCATGGATACTTAGTGAATATTAATGATTGATGATTGATAGAGTACAAATTGAAGGCTTAGATTCTGGAAGTAGACTACTGAGAGGTTCAAGTTCCACCCCCCCCCGCCCCCGACCTGTCTGTGTCTGGTTTTTTTCATTTTTTAAGATGGAAATACTAATAGCACCCACATCATAAAGTTGTGAGGATTAGATGAGTTAATAAATACTCAGAACATGCCAAGCCCATTGATACCCAACATTAGTAATTTGGTGATAATTAGCTTAATCTAAGGAAAGGAGGGCAAAGAGGTCATATACTTTATTATTGACACATTTATTTAGGACCTACTATTGTTCCAGGCATTGTGGAACATAGGGGATAAGACAGGTTCCTACCTTAATTGGGAAGGCATTCATAGAGACTCTTGTTTCACAAGGTCACAGTTTATTGAAGGGGAAAGAGTTGTAGTATGGTATGCTCTTTCATAACAACCATCTTCTGATTTACTTACATCTGTTTGGTAAAGTCAGTAACTTTTTCTGTCTTCACAGAGTTTATGGTCAAGTTGGGGAGAAAACAAGTCAATATCTTTATGGCTTTATTATCTAAAATAACTTTATAATTAGGTATTACAAATAAAATGGAAAACGGGGTAATAATTTTCTGGCTTTGAGATAGAAATGGGAAGTTTCATATCTGAATCTTATTTTAAACATCCTTTGTAATCTAAAATTTCTAAATATATTCTTTTTTTTAAAGATTTTATTTATTTGACAGAGACACAGCGAAAGAGGGAACACAAACAGAGGGAGTGGGAGAGGGAGAAGCAGGCTTCCTGCCGAGCAGGGAGCCCAAAGTGGGGCTCGATCCTAGGACTCTGGGATCATGATGTGAGCCCAAGACAGACGCTTAACAAATGAGCCACCCAGGCGCCCCTAAAATTTCTAAATATTTTCTAACTTTTCCTTCACATTAGATTATACCATATTACTTTTATTTAATTACAGTTATTCAGAATAATAGATCACCAAGATGGAGAAGAACTTCTAGCAGAAAAGTAGATATGAGAGCATAATGACTTTCTCTGGAGTAGAACCTGCTGATTTTACCATCCTTTTAAAGCTTATTTTCCTTATGGAATATCCATAATTATGTTTGACCTCCTATGAAGGCTATAGTACTTGTGGGCTCATACATAATTATGATTAAAAACATTACTAATACTTTTGTGCCAGCAATAATTATTTATTTAGCATTTGTAAATTCACATGATCTAGACTGACCAAATACACATATTTTTAACTCCTGTAACTAGTATGTAATTAATGAAGTACTTCATAACTGCAGATATGCACAGATAAAGATATTTTTTAAATGCTAAAAAGGGTAGGGGCGCCTGAGTGGCTCAGTCGGTTGGGTGTCCAACTCTTGGTTTCGGCTCAGGTCCTGATTTCATGGGTCATGGGAGTCTGCTTCGATATTCACTCCCTCTGGCCCTCTCCCTGCTTGCGCTCTCTCCCTTTCTCTCTTTGTCTCTCTCATTTTCTCTCAAATAAATAAATCCTTTTTTTTTTAAGGTAAAAATGCTAAGAAGTAATAATGCCTTAGTGTACATTTTTAGTTAATTACAGTTGACCCCTGAACAATGCGGGGGTTAGAGGTGCTGACCCCTGCCTCCTTCCCCTATGCAGTTAAAAAAATCCATGTATAACTTGATTCCCCAAAAACTTAACTACTAATAGTCTGTTGTTGACTGGAAGCCTTAGTGATGACATACACAGTTGATGAACACATATTTTGTATGCTTTATGAAAAACATACTGTCTTCTTACAGTAAAGTAAGCTAGATATTAAGAAAATCATGAATTTTATTATCTACAGTACTTCTCAGTTCTCCTTTGATACTGTCTACAAAACTGTTCATAATTTTAAGTGAACAAAAACAGATTGCAGAATAATACGTCTCATTTTGTTTAATGTGTGTGTGTATGTATTTAAGTAAAAGAATATACACCAACCCTTAACATTGGTTACCTTTGCAAATACTTATAATAGCCTCTCTTTTATAAAGAACATTAATATTGTTACTCTTTTCCTTTTTCAGAATCTGATATTGATGCTGCCACTGCAATGATGCTTTTAAATACTTCTATAGAACAAGGCATTTTAGAATGTAAGCAATCATCCCATTCTTCCTAAAATACATTTTTGTGAGTGCTTTATCAAATGTAATTTAGAATGCAAAATATTAAATATTATAGGCAAAATTGTTTTTTCCAACTAAGTTGTGTTTTCTTTTGAATTACTTAGTTTCTATTTTATTATATTTCCATTAATATATGTGAGCAGTTATGAGATTGAAGTTAATACTGTGATAGATATTTTTACATGGACCAAGAAACAAAGAAATAATAACATGTATAGAAATTAAGGTTAAGAATTTAAAAGTAAAAACGAAAGCCATAAATAAGAAAATATAGGAAAATATAACCTTGGAATTGGAAAACCCTTCAGATACAAAGTGCAAAATCCATAAAAGAAAACATAGGTAAATTTAATTAAACATCAAAATTTTGTAGTTCTGACAACAAAAAATATATATAAGAAAAGTCACACAAGGAAAACACTGAGAACATTTTTTTACTATGTATATAACAAACAAATGGTTAATATTGAGTATATGTATATAAAAGGACGCTACAAGTAAGAAATAAGAAAAATGTTCAGAAAAGCCAAGAAAATATATGAATTAGGTGGACTCAGGGAAGGAAATAAAGTGAACAATACACATTTGAAAAGAGGCAACTTCTCTAGAAGACAGGGAAATGCAAAATGAAACAATATTGAGATACTACCTTTTTTTGTCCATGAGATTATGAAAAATTAAAATGATTGATAATATTAGGTGTTAATTGTGGGAACTGGATATTGTCATACACTGTAAGATGTAAATTAGTACAACCATTTTGGAACACAATTTGAAAATACCAGCTACAAATGCAAAGCAAAACCACAGTGAGATCTCATGCCAGTCAGAATGTCTAGTATCAAAAAGACAAGAAATGACAAGTGTTGATAAGAATGTAGAGAAAAGGGAACCTACTGTTGGTGGGAATGTGAATTGGTGCAGCCACTGTGAAAAACAGTATGGAGGTTCCTCAAAAAACTAAAAATAGAAGTACCATACCATCCTGTAATTCCACCTCTGGATATTTACCTGAGGAAAACAAAAACACTTAATTCGAAAAGATACATGCACCCCTGTGTTTATTGCAGCATTATTTGCATAACCAAGATAGGGAAGCAAACAACCTCTGTCCATCAGTAGATGAGTGGATAAAGATGTGATATATATACACGATGGAATATTACTCCGCCATAAAAAAAGAATGAAATCTTGCCATTCTTGACAACATAAATGGACCTAGAGAGTTTTATGCTAAGTGAAATAAGCCAGAGAAAGACAAATTCCATATGATTTCACTCATATGGAATCTAAAAAACAAAACAAATGAACAAACAAAAAACAAATGGACGCCTGGATGCCTCAGTCCGTTAAGCGCCTGACTCTTGATTTTGGCTCAGGTCATGATCTCAGGGTCGTGAGATGGAGCCCTGAGATGAGGCTCCATGTTCAGTGCAGAGTGTGCTTGTCCCTCTCCCTCCCCATCTGCCCCTCTCCTCACTTGTTCTCTCTCTCTCAAATAAATAAAAATCTTAAAACAAAAAACAAAAAAACGGGCACCTGGGTGGCTCAGTCAGTTAAGCATCTGCCTTTGGCTCAGGTCATGATCCCAGAGTCCTAGGGCCTGCTTCTCCCTCTGCCTGTCGCTCCCCGCACTCTCTCTGTTAAATAAATGAGTAGAATCTTAAAAAAAAAAACAAAAAAACCAGACTTATAAATACGGAGAACAAACTGGTGGTTGCCAGGGGGAAGGAGGATGGGGGGATGAGTGAAATAAGTAAAGGCAATTAAGAGGTTACAAATTTCCAGTTAAAAAATAAATCACAGGGGGTTAAAAAGTACAGCATAGGGAATATAGTCAATAATATTGTAATAACTATATGGTGACTACACAAGGTGAGCATTACATAATGTATATAGAATTATCAAATCGCTATGTTGTACTCCTAAAACTAATATAAGATTGTATGTAAACTATACTTCAGTTAAAAAAAAAAACAATTATAATTTGAAATGTATATATTCTTTTACTTAATAATTCTGTTTCTTGGTATTCTAGAAGAATATTTGCATATGTGTAAGAAGAAGCGTCTAGAATGATTTTCATTGCAATATTATTCACAGTACTGAAAAATTGGGAAAACCTAAATATCAATAAGAAAATGGTTAGCTCAACAGTGGCACATTCCTATTGAAGCATTCTGTACGAACAGCTCAAAACAATTATATTTTTCATGGAAAGGTCAAGACATATCGTTAAGTGATTTAAAAATATTTCAAGTTAATACCTACAGGATGATATGTGGTCTAAGTAAAAAAAGAAACAAGTGAACAAAAACCTACAGAACATTACTAACCCTAAAGCACTTACTACTTAGTAGTGATATAGTAGTTTAAATGGCCTTTTCTTGCAATCGGATGCATTTGACCTATTGATGGAAGTTTTCTTTTCCACAGGTGAGAAGCCTCTTCCTCTTAAAACAGCAATGCAAAAAAAGAGGAGTTATGGCAATGCATTTAATCATCCCAGTAGTGTGCGATTGCAAGAGAGTGATTCTTTGGCCACAAGCATTGATCCAAAAGAAGACCACAATTACAGTGCAAGCAGCATGGCAGCACAGCGCTGTGCGTCCAGGTCTAGTGTGTCTTCTCTGTCCTCTGTGGATGAGGCATATGAATTTATCCCAAAGAGCAGCCATGTGGGAAGTGATGGCAGTGAAGGATTTCACAGTGAAGAAGATACAGATGTTGATTATGAAGATGATCCTCTTGGAGACAGTGGCTATGCATCACAGGCTTGTGCAGATGCCTCTGAAAAAGGGCAGCCAGGCAAAAAGATGCGCAAACAGTTATGTCAAGAAATTGATGAGGAGCTCAAAGAGGCAGCTGGATCTCTGCTCCACCTTGCTGGAATCCGAACATGTCTGGGTTCCCTAATAAGTACTGCGAAGACACAAAATCAAAAGCAGCGGAAAAAATAGAAATACTTATTAGTGTGAAATTATTTTAAAGTGTGGCAATACTCTTCTACTTAATTCTTTACAAGGGATATCAAAGCCATAATGGACTTCTTTTGTTTTAGGGTGGGGGAGGGGTGCTAATTACTTGTTTATTTCACATGTTTGTTTTAATTTTTATTAAATAATTGCTGTTAGGATCATGCCCAACCATAGATACGCTGCCAAGTCCTAAAAGCATAATATTTGTGATAAGTGTGTCTAAGATTTGGAAATTTTTATATAAGAAAATCCACAGCCTATGTCTTAAAACTTGTAGGAAAAATCTTTTATTCTGTTAATGTGTTAAAGTGTAAGAATTGGCAACTCTGTAACTTTTTTTCATTTTCTTTTCCAATCATTTGTAATTAACTGTAGTTGCTGATCCAGCTAAAAATGTTGCTGATGTCTTTCTCACATACTTCTCTCTGGACACATGCAATCCAGTAGAATGAGATTTGGATTTTTTTATTTTGTCTTAATTTTAGTTTTTAATTATTTTTCGCTGAAGCGTGGACAAAGTTGAATATAAATTGGAAAAGGTCCTAGCTGTCTAGAAAGCTCCTTTTGGCTACATAGGCAGGAAGTATAACAAAGAGTTCTGAAATTTAGAAAAGGCAGTTTTGTGGTAAAATTTCAAATAAGAACACTCCCAATTCCTATTATAATATTATCTTTGAATTTTTTTTACTTCCCAGATGTTGCATAACATTTATTGGGGCCTTTTGTTCATTCCCAAAGTGCTTTGCAACCATTGTTTGAATTTTAGCCACTAGCTGTCTTTGTTGAGTAAAAATAACCCAGTGAGAGAGGATATAGCCATAAAGTATGTTACGGAGTTAACACTCATTTTGACACACTTTTTGCAATAAGAGAATCTTTTATTTGTTGTTAAATGGACTGCATTCTGGGAATTTTGTAGTAGGAATGGAGTGTGACCTAATAGAAACATTTTGAATACTTACTACTTATATCCTCTTAAATAAAGATAGATCATTTAGGAAAAAACTTCTGTCCAAGGTTTGTATGAATTAAGTTTGTATGTATTCCTAATTAAATTTAGAAGGATTTAACAAAACTGTAGAAACCAAGTACCTTCATGAGTTTGAAAATTCATATAAAATTAAATCTTATACAGTACACCCTTTGGGGGAGGCATTATAATACATATGTGCCATTTATTCCATGCTAAAAGATTTTATATTGCTATTCCAAAGGTGCATTGACTAAGGCATTTTAAGCATTTGAACAAATCTGCTCTATGAGACATTTTTTCATATCATTTTTATAGTTTGACTATATTAATTTAGAAAGAACACAGGATACACTAGTAAAACTAAACTTATTATATATATTTTTTTTTTACGGTGATAGAAGCAACTTTCCAAAAGTTCAGTCTTATCTCTTGGTGCATTCTGTTTTATAACAATGACCTTGTTTTCATTTTTCTGATAATTTCTATATACATATACATACATACATAGGCTCGTGATTTTGGTTGGTTACTTTCAGCTGTTTCTATGACTAAAGCATTTTCTTGGATTTTTTTTTAAGAGGTATTTTTATTTTAACTTGTAAATTTTATTTGGGCAAAACTGTCGAATGAGAAGCATAATGAAAACATCTTTTTCAATTGGCAAAACTTTAAGCCAGAGCCAGGGATAACAACATTAATATTATCTGTCCCGTTTCCATGTTAATTGTAATTGAACTTGGATAGTCACATTAATAGAATCAGTGCTGTTGAAATACAGTAATTTTTAAATTTGTTGATAATGAAAAATAGTTTTTAAGTATGCAGGATGAGGTATTTGGGATTGTTTTTTTTCTTCTTCATTTTTGTCACCTCTGCTACAGAAAATGACTAATCCAAGTTAACACCTTTTACATGGACAGTGACTATAACACACCAAAAAATGTTTATACCACAGTATAAATAGTACACAGATTATAAAAATCATTTCAATAACAGTATCTTAAAGCTCTTTATGGTGGCCCTCTGGATAGACCTTAGTAACAGTGTGTTTCAGTGACCTGGTTCCAGTTTATTTTGTTCTACTGAAATTCTGTACCACAGATGTTCTCTCTGGTCCCTGTCCATTAGATAATTACTCTTCGTAAGCAGAGGAGGATGATTTAAGATAAGGAGGGGGAGAGTTGTTCCCCCTTTAAGAGGGATCTTCAAAATTATTTTGGCTTAATATAAATAACAATAATTCTTTAAACTTAATATTCTCTCCCTCTTCAAATTTAAAAGTTTAAATGCATCACTAGCAAAGACAATGAATGCTTTCATACTAAAAGCTAATGGGAAGAAGTCATATGGTATTTTACACTTAATACACAGAATTCAGTGCATCACTTTTTCCATTTGCTGATTTACTGAGGCAGTTGTTTTCAAGGGGAAGTACCTTTTTAATTATGATTCCCCCATTATTACTTTCATAGATATTATGATCCCATTCCTCAGGTGTGTTGAGATAAATAACCACCCAATTAAGGAAAGTCGTTTCAAGTCCTATGGACTGGAAATTGTATTTCTGATAATATATTAATAAGAAATTATACTGTAATAGAAACAGTTTGGCAATTCCAGAGAGGTTATATATGTTCCAGCATATTTTAAGACTGTGATTTAAGCTAACATAATTTGCCTTACATCAATATAAATTGTTACAACCGATTCTAGTTTATAATAGATTTCTAGTGAAGTTTTGAGTCAGCACAATTAATCTTCATCTTTCCCATCCCAAATAGAATCAGTGTTTCTTGAATATAGATTTTTGAAATTTATTTGTGCAATATATTACTAGATTCATTAATATTTTATTTTACCTTTCAAATTCAGAGAAAGAAAACATTACTTGTATTCATGGAAAAGCTAATTATTGGTGGATTGCCTCCTTTTTTCCACCTTTGAGCCTTTCCTTTCCTCCCTATAGCCAGCATGACTTCTCTTAACTTAGATTCCCCTGTATATAGTAAGGCTTAGAATATATATATATATATTTTTTGCTACTTTCTGAGGCATTATGTAAAAGGTTCATATTAGGTGGTCAGTTAAATATATGTAAGCACGAATTCAAAGGTAGAGAAAGTGTTGAGGGAATGTGTGTGTCTTCGTAGACCAGGAGGCTTTTCCTAGCAGTTTAATCAACAGATGTGAATAATTCACAAAGCTGTAAAGACTTTTGTCTTAAATACTTACAGTAACTTAACAACCATTTGTGAAGACCACACATTTAATTAAAGGCTTTCTGGTTTACATATACTTTACAGTTGTTTTTTTTTTTTTTTAGTTTGAAATGTGTAAGCTTTGATTTAAAGTTTACTTCACTATATTAATGATGTACTCAAAGTATTTATTGAAAGACAAAGTAGAGTATTTTAATGTTATACCTGCCATTTTTTCTTAAAGCACATTTATTTCTGCATCTAACTGCCAGTGCCATTGTTGTACATTTCTTATTAAACTAAGTGCTTAATTTTAAGTATTATGTTGTCATCATATAGTGTATAAAAATGTATAATTGCCAATTCACTGTAACTACTATTTATTTTTAAATGAAAGTGTAAGAATGCTTTCTGATTCAAGAAATTTGAGTTATTAAACTGGTTTCCTTATCCTCTTTTCTAATGTAGCATAAAAATTGCCCTGAGTTTGCGTTATGACTGCCAGTAGATGACCAGTCACAAGTGAACCACTTCTCAGTTGCCAGTCTTTGTTCATATTAAAAGCAGCCTAACAGATATTTAGTTTTTGTATCTAATCTCTGATGATTAAAATGTTTATAAAGTTTATTTTTACCAAAGAGATGCAATTCATTATGATAAAGTATTGCAGAATAAACCTTGTTTTATAACATTGGTGTACTTTCTCTGTCCTTTTGGGGTGGGTAGTGTAGATGTAAGTGGCTCATACTTACACATACACATGCCCTTTCCCTTTTGGTGTTACAAAGTTGAAGTCATACAAATGAAAAATAAAGTTTCAATTTCAGAATTTTTAAAAGTCAAAAGTATTGTTTTTCCTGGTTTTTACAAGCCATTTTAATCATTTTGAAAGCTAAAATAGTGTTAATTACATTATTCTCTTCCTGAAGATGAACTTCTTTTCCTGTGCATATATATATATGGGATATTTTAAAATGTAAGAAAAATTGAGCAGATTATGAAATTAAGATTATTTCTAAATATAGTAGTTGTTACTTCAACAATTCCCAGTAGTACCATGTGTTTAAAAATTGGGGCGGGCGCCTGGGTGGCTCAGTTGGTTGGGCAACTGCCTTCGGCTCAGGTCATGATCCTGGAGTCCCGGGATCGAGTCCCATATCGGGCTCCCTGCTCAGCGGGGGGTCTGCTTCTCCCTCTGACCCTCCCCCCTCTCATGTGCTCTCTCTCTCTCTCAAATAAATAAATAAAATCTTTAAAAAAAAATTGGGGCATCCAGGGCGCCTGGGTGGCTCAGATGGTTAAGCGTCTGCCTTCGGCTCAGGTCATGGTCCCGGAGTCCTGGGATCGAGTCCTGCATCGGGCTCCCCGCTCTGTGGGAAGTCTGCTTCTCCCTCTGCCTCTCTCTCTCTCTCTCATGAATAAATAAATAAAATCTTTAAAAATAAATAAAAATTGGGGCATCCATTATAAAATGAAATAATCTACAACCAATATCTTAATTTTATTTTATTTTTTAAATTTTTTTAAAGATTTAATTTATTTGACAAAGAGAGATAGCGAGAGCAGGAGCACAAGCAGTGGGAGAGGGAGAAGTAGGGAGCCCGATGCGGGGCTCGATCCCAGGACCCCAGGATCATGACCTGAGCCGAAGGCAGACGCTTAATGACTGAGCCACCCAGGCGCCCCCCAATACCTTAATTTTAATCCCCCCACCCCCTACTTCCCTTTGAAATTCTGTGCTGGTAATTTAAATGGTATTAGCTATGTAGCGTTGTTTATTTAAAAGGAGTCAAATGAGAGCCATATTGATTTAAACTACCACGTTCTCTAAGCCCTAACTCCTTCCAAAGCACCTTTTTGATAGACAGAATTTTACCAAACATAGGTATTTGGAACTCATGTATTTATTCCTTAAGAGTTTTATTCTCGGGCGCCTGGGTGGCTCAGTTGGTTAAGCGACTGCCTTCGGCTCAGGTCATGATCCTGGAGTCCCAGGATCGAGTCCTGCATCAGGCTGCCTGCTCAGCAGGGAGTCTGCTTCTCCCTCTGACCGTCCCCCCTTCTCATGTGCTCTCTCTCAAATAAATAAAATCTTAAAAAAAATTTTATTCTCACTATTGCATTCATCTAGCTCATACTAGTTCTGAAGGGGGAAGAAATATATACCATTTTTAGAGAAATAACTTACTAAAATATGGGTTAAAACATTTAGTCTTTCCCTCAAGAATTTCGGGACATGCTAATTTGCTAGTTGTTTTTTTTTTAACCAGAAATAAAGCTTGCAAAAATTTAGATTAAACTGTTGAAAATCTTTAAGAATGAAAACAATTATTAATCTTAGTGTTAC